TAATTATACGACCTTTAACCTGAATTTACTTTGTATCAATAAATCTACGTCATCAATTTGATCATTTCGTTGATCAAGTATAAAGTGTGCTTTCCGTGATTTGTATCAAACTACAGTAATTTATCATACTTAATTACCAATCGACAGTTATATCATAAACTAATACTACAATGATAATATCTTTCCTTGATATTAAAATAAGTAATCAAAATACTCAGAAAGGGTTTTGTAGAGATTTCCGTATTTTTCATAGTTGAAATCATGAGTCAATTGAAGCTAGACCACCATGGAAAACGTCGAAGCACTGGACGGCCGTTTCGTCCTACTGTGGGACTCCTCTGCAGTGTGCATTCACGACTTCGCGTAGCGAGATTGGGACCCAGGACCTCCCAGTCTCGCGCCAGAGCGCTTAACCTCTAAACCACTGAGCTGGTATCCAACGGCGTTAATGTCTAACTTCAACCAATCCACGAAGTTTGAGCAACCGTTCACCAATTGTCTTCAATGGTCTATCGGTTAAGTGCTCTGGTGCGAGACTGGGAGGTCCTGCGTTCGAATCTCACGAGGCGAGGTCGTGGATGCGCACTGCTCAGGAGTCTCACAATAGAACGAAACGGCCGTTCAGTGCTTTCAGGTTTTCCATGGTGGTCTAGCTTCAATTGACTCATGATTTCATCTATGAAAAATAATCAAAATACATTGTGCATTATTTCGTTAAAAAAGTTTGGACCAGATTGCCAGGCGAAACGTTGGATTTACTTCAAATTCATTCGCTGAGATTTTACAAATATATATTATTCCTATTTAATGTCTTACGTCAACTCGGCGCTCAAATACTGTGAAACTATTCGCTCTAATTTCAATGAAAGTTCTTATACATTATTGAATATGTTTTGAAAATAGAACTACAGATAGAAGTTTATACTGATAGATTACATGAGATTTCCAAATTTCTAACTTTAGTTTCTAAATTCCTTGTAGATGATGTAATTGTACAGTGATCATTGATTTTTTTAAATAAATAAAAATTTGTTTGGTTGACTGTTAAGAATGTCAAATAATTAATATGTACAACTTGCTACACAACCTTTATTGATCAAAGTTACCATATGTGGGGGATAAAACAGGTAAATAATTAGATCCAATATGTTTGACTGATTCCTATTAACAACAGTATCAGATCAGTATCCATATAAGGCATACAAAACAATTACTCCTTATGTAACCATGTCATTGAAGATGTTAACTTATTAAAACTATGATGAATTTTCATGTTCATTTCATTATCACAACTAGTTACATATGAGAAACAAGAAGAATTGAAATTTGATATAAATATAAATGAATTTTTATTTGTGCTGAGAAACTAGGCTATTAACCTTTATTTCGTAACCTTATCGGTGGTCAGATGAAGAATATAGAATATATTAATGCTGCATCGAATGTACGTACATATCAAGGCTTTGTAAGTAGGTCAAACTACTATTTTTCTGGCTTTATTGATATTGCAGATATATAGGTTCTTATGATACAGTCGACGATTTCACTTTAAATTTAATTTCAAACATGTTTTGTTGTGGCAATTAACTGTGTTATATCGTGAAGCCTGCCTATTAGAGAGGTGTGAATTATCGATCGGAACAGAGACACAAAAAACTATATGAGCAGTCTAGATCACTTGTCGGTCCTACTATCTGCCTAGCTCAGCCAGTTAAGTCCAGAACACCAATAATCGCCTTTGCAATATGAATCACTGTTTTAAAACAAACTGGGTTTATATACCTGCAAACTGACCATATCGTTCCATAAAATAGAAAATAATAAGATTCAGCTATATGTGGCTGTGATTAGGGGGAACAGTAATTAATAGATTGGGTATAACTCTGGAATGGTAAATCGTACAATATCAGTCTATGGGTCAAAATAAAGCTCATAATAAAGGGAACATAATTATGAATAGTTGAGTTACTTAACAATTATACAATAAGAAATATACGTATCACATTGATCCATAAATAGTTCTCAAAAGCTACCATTCATAATTCTCTTCGGGATATAGCAAACTGTATAGGAAAATTCACCTCAGTCTTAGTGTTAATTTCCAAATTTTTTTTACTGATTGATGATTATATTGCTGAATTGACCCATCACCATCTATTTGGAATCGGTTTTTTATTCAATCGTAAAACCTGCATATTAGTGTAGATCGTAGATGAAGAACTAATTGAGAATATATACATATATATATATATATATATATATATATATATATATATATATATATATATATATATATATATATTTCTTCACTCAACTTGCATTTCGATATCAATAAAGACAAGCTGAATTTATTTCTTACATCTTGATTGTCATATTTCCAGGAACTGGTTTGTGGAGATTTTAGTTATTTTTATGTAGTCGAGATCAACCAGGTCTGTCGGGAGATATCAACTCACTGAAAGACATTGGTGAATGGTTGCAATTTCTTGGATTGGTTGAAGTTAGACATTAACACTGTTGGATGCCGACAGGCTCAGTGGTCTAGTGGTTAAGCGCTCGTAAGAGAGACTGATAGATCTGTGTTCCGATCTCGCAAGACAGGATCGTGGAGGCGCACTTCTGAGGAGTCCGGCAGTAGGACGAAACGGCCGTTTGGTGTTTCCATGTTTTCTATGGTGGTCTAGCTTCAATTGATTTATCATTATTTTCAAATTATTCATTTGATCGTTTAACAGATGTAGGTTGTTACTTAAGACTATTTCCTGATAATATTAATTTGATAAATGTAGTTAAATTGATCACACCATTCAGTTGTAAGAGTACTTACTTAGTTACTGGGTAAAGAATCAAATATTTCCTACTATAAAGCCATCATTGTAACCCAAATATTCGGATTAAATTAAAGATTTGAATGTTTATGGTCGTAGCTTTTCACCTAAAACGTTTATCAACCTTTCCGTTTATCTAACAAAGCATGAAGTGGTAAAGTTTTTAAAAAAATAAGAAAATTGATTAGGTAGACCATCAGATTGCAGTTCCATAGATTATTTATGGCATATTCAGATCATTTTTCTGCATTAAGTTTTCATGGTCAGTGGGTTGGTTCAGCTAGGATACACGTATGGCCATCTCCAATGTACAAAGCAACAAGAAAAACGCATTATGGAAGGCTGGATTATTAATGGGTCGTGTGATAATCCTTATAACCCACCGACTGACCCAATTGATTTGTTAGTGATCTTTGTTCGGTATGACTAAACTAATTATCCATAATGACCATCTACCAACTATTGTAATGGACGATTTGATTTATGATATTAGATATGGAAATAAGCAAGTTAAATGCAATAATGGATTGGTAAAATTAATACTTTATCAACCAGAGTGTATACCATGCAGACAAATGCTATCGAACACGAAACCTAAGACCGTGGTTTCCTGCTGCTTTCTTAAACCATATAGCATCGTAACTCTGCAGTGAACACTAATTGATATTGTCATGATGGAGCCAAGGTTCACTTTAAAAAATGGTATGGTATGACGACCTAGGAAGTATCAAACTGATCACTTTCCGGTGATCGATTTGTGTACAATGTTAGTTTTAAAATATACTAGCAGCTAAGTGATAAACGTGTTGTGGAATATAAAAAACTGCAGTTGTATTGGTTTCCGAGCTCCAGTTACCATAGACAAGAAGCTTCTGATGTTACCTAATATATTATAATCAAAACTGTTTAACTTACAAAAAATTGTCGACTAAGTAGTATACGATCCGGGATAATATTTGAAACAAGAACGAACTGGCTTGGCCAGCCAGAAAGCAAGGACGATAAGTGTGGTGTGGATTACTTATATCCACATAAATATTATATAACGATAACCAGGTAGTATACACGAACCCACATGCCTCAGTTCACTTGTCAGTGACTTCAAGGATTTGTGCCACGTTTTGGTCTGGCCGCACCTAGCTTCCTTCCAACCTACTCCTACACCATAAAGCATTACACGTCGGGGCAGTCGGTGGTTGGGCATACGTAACACGTGTCCCAGCCATCTCAACTGATGAAGTTTCACTACTTCATCAATCGATTTGCCATCCTTACCTAGTACCCGTTTTCTAGCGACTGCATTACTTAGCCGGTGGTCCCAGGATATACGAGCAATGCTTCGAAGACACCTATGATCAAATACTAGTAGCCTACGAATATCCTCTACTCTTACATTTCATGTTTCACTGCCACAAAGTATGACGGAACGAACTGCTGAGCAGTAAACACGTCCGTTGGATGCTAGACGGATATCTCGCCTACGCCATAAATGACGCAAGTTGGCGGAAGCTAGGCGAGCCTTCTATATCCGTGCTGAGATTTCGTCGCACAAGGGAGAATAAGGTTGATTCTATAAATATACACAGCCGTTTAAATAAATTCCCGCCTTAGTTACTTAAAGGTTTTTTGTTGACTTTATCAGATCATTCACTTGTTCAAGTTGCGTTCAAAACTCAAACACTGTCGACCTTGAAGTGAAATTTCTCGGGATGAATACCAGATTATCGACTATCAAGTTTTTCTACAATATTTCTAATGTTTCCTGATAGAGATAAAGAGATCCCGATTATTCCGTGCGAAGTAACTTGAATAATCAGTTCAATTAACATGTATCAACCTATTGGTTTTAAATTAGGGAATTTAACACACACACCTCGGGGAGTTACGAAACCCTGATTCCAAACCAATGGTGCACGTGGACTCCAGTATCCTGAAGGAACAAACGGTGTATGAATCAATCGTTGGTCACAGGCTACCATGGGACTGCATCTCCTTGCGATGCTCCACTGCCTTGTGGATCGCATCTTTAGGTCAAAGGTTCCGGGTGTGGTCCCTTAAGAAAACCATCTGCCTCGATTTGGGAACCCGGGCAGTATCACAGCCTCCACACAAATCAAATGAGATTTGTGTAGTGTATATATATCTGGTGCTCTTTTGTACCAATATTTACGTGTTTAATTAAATTAAATATTTTAAATAACACATTCCATGGTACTATGAAAGAGAAGAGAGTTTCGCAATTGAGTTTATTTTATTTTTGAAAATAATTCATGATCATAATTCAGTTAAAAGAGTTTGAATTTTCATGTTGTTGACGATAAGGATTGCAACGTATCAATCTATTTTGTCATGTGACTCATGAGCGGTTCGCCTAGATATTGCCATCAGTCGCAAGTATTTCTTAAGTAAAGTTGGATGGTAGAAGTAACAATGGGATCCAGGTCGCCAGCTTCATTCTTCTCAAGACTCGTCAACTGAATGTAAACTACCATTCTCTTTCTAGTCATATCGAATCTTAATCATGTTCGTGTTCCTGGTTTAACAATTTATTACTTGACGGTTAATGTAAATCAATATTGCCCATATTACATAATCAACAATACGTTGATAGAAATAAACCCCATCTATTACTTAATGTCTATAAATGGTATATACAGTTATGTAGTGTAAAAATAAGTTGTTCAGTTGAACAAAATCATTGTAACAACAAACGCTGATGTTTTTCACCAATACACATACATTGTCTCGCCTTTAATTTGAATAACATGACATTAGCATGATTTGAATTGTTTTAATTGCAATAATAAAAATTCTCGTTTCTTCTTTTGTATTATTTAGACTTGTATCAACTTAACTGGGTTATTTATTCATTCACTTACTAAAGAAGAAGTTTGCATTAACTTGTCGAAAATTCAATTTTATACTCAATAGGACATTACAAAACAGATAAACACACACACACACACAATCATGTGATATCAAAACATATGTATTTGAAAACGATATCGAAGAATTCAACAAGGTTCATAGTCACCAAAATACAATAGATTAACAGAAAAGAAGAGAACCAAGAAAAAAAACCTTGAAGGAACAGACTGGAAGAAGAAGAAGAATTCGATCAAACAAAACAACAAGATCACAGTTTATGCATCGGTATTAAATCGTTGTAATACAGGCCAATTTTGATTTCATTTTTACACCATACATGCATAATAATACACTACAAAGGTAGTTTCTTTATAAATTCTTGTTTAAAACGAACATGGTTTTATACACAAATGAAAAATTTTTTTTAAAAAAACAACAACCACATCGAAAGTGAATATTGAACAAAATTAGTTATATGGTATAAACTGTAAGAAGAAAACAAGAAATCAATTAAACAATTAAAAGTTAATTTTAAATACATTTAAGTAGTGTATTATTTTCACAATATATATATTCAAATATATACAGTTTTAGCAGAGATGGATAGTGGCTAGCAGTGGAATCCAGGACGCGCGTTTCGTCCTATTCGGGACTCGTCAGCTGGATGTACCTGCATCTCAGAGTTGATGTTCACTCTGGGACTCGAACCCAGTACCCTCGCTTCAAACGCCATCGCGTTATCCACTCGGCCAAATAGGACGAAACGCGCGTCCTGGATTCCACTGCTAGCCACTAACCATCTCTGCTTACCATGCTTGTGAATTAAGGTATATCGAGGCAATACGCACAGTATGCACATATGCCAATTAGAGACTGACCAGTTGCAGTCCTAAACACATCGATGGGAAGATCCAAACAAACAATACTAAGTGAATATACAGTTTTAGTTGATAATCATTTCAATTTGTTGTTTGAACTGAGTTTTCTTTTTAATGTTAGGTCATCGTTTACGTACTTGTTCTCAAGTCTGATAGTGATAATATTTAAATATTTATGAGAGCTAATGGTATAGTTATGGGGTGAAACTATTATGCAATATGATTAGCGTATTGAAGTAATCACTTCCATAACTTACGCCAGTTCTATGTATACCACTCTAAAATAGCCTGACTTATTGTTATACTTGTTTTGCTAATAAACTACTCAGCTACTCCTATTGTTTAGTATTCTCATACAATGACACTCGACAAGACCCCAAATTCAGAACACGTTGAACAGGAACGAAATTGTATTCAAAATAACAAGGGTAGGTGAACAGCAATCAACGGACAGAAAAACGTTCATATCTTTATAGTATATGCATAAGAAGCTTCTAGATGCTTCTCCAATAATCTGCCAGAGCTGATTGGCTTAGAATTAGCCAATCAGCGTGTGCCGTCACGATCATGCACATAACGTGCCTTAATCCGGTTTATTTCCCGCTAACACTTGTTAAGAACGAAACAGATGAAAACGATTAAAAAGGATATATTCTTAATAGTAGAAATCTACTGAATGCTTTGTATAACCGTTAAACAACTTGATTCTGAACTTTTAGTTTGGAACGTTGATTCAACTACTACCGTCCCAGTAGTCAGGTAGTATATCACTAACAATCACAGAAACACTATAGCTCAAACCAATATATATATATATATATACTACATCTATTTTTATTTACTATACATTAGTTTTTTACTAATTAAGTGTGGTTGTGGGACGTTAACAGAGATTATAAAAGCTTTTACAAAGTTTAAAATTTTCATTCTCTTCATAATACTTTCTCTATTTCAGTCAATACATTTCATTATTTTACCGTGTAATCATTTTGTATTTCGTTGAACAAAAAGAAATTGTAGAAAGTAATGTATAATGAGTAAAATGACCTAATGTGTTGATTCCATTTACATGACCTCCGTTTGTGCATTAATTAGACAAAGTGAAGATACTTAAACTTTATTAATAAGTCAAGAAAAACAGGACACTAATTTCTGATTATCATCAAGGTAGTTAATGCTTAAGTACATAGTGACTGATAGCTCACTTTGTGTGTTTATTGGAAAGAGTAATATATCTATCAATCGGGTTTATTCTATACGTTTCATCATGAAGCTTTTCATTGGAAACTTAATCAGTAAATTATATTGCACTGAGAGATGTTAACTAATCAAATGATGGTAATTGAATATAGTGAATCAATTGGCTCTTTTTCGAAGAAAAGATTGCAGAAAATTGAATAAACGCCTTATAAATCAGTGATGAAATGTATTAAAAATTCTAGTCACAGGTGAATGGAACAACCACTGAATATTCATGAACACTCAAAACATTTTATTTTCTGCGAAATCTAATAACTCCAATGTTCTCAGAAAGAACGCATAACTTCTATTAAGCTTCATAAAAATTAGCATTCAATTGTTTGAACGAGGATCGTAGATATTTTAAACACTAGGGCTATTAACCGCAATCAAGATTGTGACTTAAAAAAAAATTAGTTTTCAGTTCTCTCATAATCGATAGCTATTTAACTAGAGGATCTTCAAATTCGCAATACTCGGGAAATGTAAATAATAAAACATACCAGAAAAGGTGTCAAGTGAAATGTTTGCATGAACTTTAAATAGGTGTATTCAGTCGACCACGGTTATTCAGACGAGATTTCCCTGAAGCTCGATGGTGAATCCGACGACGTGTACGCGACAGATGTGGTAGATTTTCAGGAGGTAGTACACGATAAATTCTTACAAGCCAATGTTTCGATGTAAAAGCTTCCTCTAAGTAGTCTAATTCAAAATTTTTACGACCGATTTCAGATCCTCTGGTACGATCAAATCCAAGTGGTGTTCGCATATCTAGGCGAACTTCACCAAACCGATAATAGCTTAATTTATACATTAAACAATTGAGCATCGTTTCAGAAGCACTTTTATCTATACGATAATCCCCCTAAAAAAAGAAAAGAAAACAAAAAACCAATATAACCATGGAATTGTGATCAAATAGGCAGAGTTAAAATTTAGAACCTTCTTAGTGAATATGGGTCAATGGGTCTTACTGAGGGAATCCAATGATACGGCAAAACAATAAAACTATCATTACAAGCCCAACGGAAATACATCCAACTTTTTCTCAGAGAGTAATATTGTCAAAGTAAGAATTACTGTGGTAACATCTGTAAGATAAGGTGACGTAATAGGTCATGAATAATTGCACTAACTCAGCATTGAAATTATAACCAGTGATTGGTTTGGATTATACTATATTTATAAAAGTTTATGACGCTTTCAACCGCCCCTCTGGGGTTACTGGTAGTCCCCAACCTGGGTAAAGAATGATTGTGGATAGCGTTAGCGATTCCGACTCATAAAAAAAGAACCTCGCCAAAAGAAACACCAGCGAGAGTAAAGTAAAGGAAAAGATCTAGGACAAATAATACATGGCTTCAGGAGTTGGAGGCAGATATTACGATCGTTAATAGCACTTGACAACAGCTAGAAATGAGAGAGCCCAGGACACAGCCGTTTGAAGATGACTGGTTGATGAATTACGCTACAAGAAGAGTGAGTGAAGTAAAATAAGTTTATACCTAATCGACTATTGTTGGAAGATAAACATGGATTCATGTTTCGACCGTTTCCATAACTACATGGAGAGACGAACAGACCTATTATCTGGTGCAGACTAATAAAGGTCCTTACGAGTTTCCAACTGTTTTAAACAAACGTTTTGGTATATCAAACTGATTTACTTATGCCTGTGGATGCTAGGATCTGACTCCAATTAGATCGTATGAATGATTGTTGTCAAAATATATATCCTGTCTATCCTCGTATGTAATACATGACTTAATCGGCGTTGATGAATAACGGAGTTTAATAAGTCAAATACAAGAATGGGTTTCGAATACATAAATTTTGTACATACGCTGATCCTGACAGGAAATCAGAGGGATGGAGCGAATAAAAGAGAAAGAGGCAGAAATGACGCGCCTTGGAGATGGAGGATAAGCCAATTCGCTTTTACCAAGCGTTGATCAATATTTATAGTCAGATAAAAAATAATTTACAGACATGCGATGAATAAGATAAAAAGTGTACACACACATACACACATCTAAAAAAACAGTCAGAGTTTATATAAATCAATAATTAACAAGGTCAAAACGTGACTCATGATGGGTAGGTAAATTGGCTTGTCCAGAAGCTATAATAAGGTATATGGGTTTAACATATCAACCGACACTACATGTCAGACAGCCAATCAGTCAACGTCAAGTATTCACTTAAAAGGAGAAGCGCTAATATCATATATGGCTTCGATTTAACAACTAGCTTGTTATATAACGATTCTTAACAATATATGACAATGTAGAGTAGCGCATATTATGATCGTCTTTACTGCATATAAAAGCTAACAACTTACTGTTGAAGTTAGAAAATCTCGTTCACGAATTTCATTAGGATGTTCACCGCCACCAATACGCACCATCCATAAGAATTTATTAATATCATCACCACTGTAACCGATATAACCGCCGAATATGACCAGCACGTAATCCACGTCTAAACTTTGAATAGTCTATGGGAAAACCACATGTCAGGGGAAGAAGCGTAAAAAAGTGAAAGAAAAGTGGTATTAATCACACATAATAAAACTATCATGGTTCTTAGTAAAATGCGAATTAATAACTAAGGATTTGATTAATATAGACAAAGTGCCTTTTTAAATTATGGACTCGTATATTTTTGAAGAACTGTGGGAATGAGAAACAACAACTGTCTTGGTCTTGGACATTTAAATTATGATATTTTTGGCAGAAACAGATTTTATATATTTCTAGGTCTTTAGATAATCAACTTATTACGCATCAGTCAAGAGAGCATTTGTAAATTTTGAATAGAAAAATCTCTCTAAAAGATTAACTAAGATGATGATAAGACTGCATATCTATCAATGAATAGTGAAAAAGATGTTTCGACGAGAGTTGATTGGAAATGGAAGATAAAAGACTACTGAGCATGATATTTTTCACAATATTTGTAATTACTGGATTCGATAACAGGAATTCGAAGTACAGCAGTGATATGAAATTTTACACTAGACGATAAGGCAGTTGACCTGTGCTAAATTCTTAATGTCCTATTAAAACGAAAAAAAGAATAATTTTCAACAACACAAATATATTATTTACATTTAGCAGTATCCTTTTGCATAACCCTTTCACTCAAAATGTAATCATGTTGAATACATACAAACAGAAAAACATCGACTTTAATTGCTCAACTTACTTTATAGGCTTCTGATTCATTTGATGCCATAGCCTTACCAACTAATGCGATATGACTGTTATTCCATGTGTTATTATCAACTAGAGTAGTGCGGTTACCCATCCCTGCAATTTGATATCCATAATCCCACCAGGACATAACCCGAGCATTTTCTTTTGTATTTTGCCATAACCAGAAATAAGCCTCACTGGTAATATAAGACAAAAAATTGATTATTATTTGATTATTAAAAAATATCTGTGGGATTGTTCAATACTTGAACATTAAGGAGTGGATGGTAACCTCTAAATATTGTTAACATAACCCCACTAGTATTAAGTATCACTAAGTGTCTACATAGTGAATACAACTTATATGTAACTAATTATTTCCCTTTTGAATGCACTATTTTGGTAGTTATAGAATGTAATAAATGAATTCATCAATAGAAAATTACCAAAAGTTTCAACAAAGTTTTGAAATGTGCCTTTTGTGCCAAATTTTGATTATTCTTAAAGTTAAGTATTCCTTATTTATTTTTAGAGTAATATAACACTTTGAAATTTTGTGAAAATCATGAGTTGTAAAAAAAAGTATTATTCATTTGAAGTGTGATTAAACCAACGATCCCCTAGAGATTTTGAAGTGAGCACATAAATGGATCACAGGTCAAGATTAAAAAATTAAAGCGTACTACGATTTTATAAGATTTACCATTAAATTGTGTTTTGTTTTATTGTTGAGTAATGGATTGTTTAAAAAGGTTATATTTCATTGTAAAGCTATGATGCAGACCTGTTATCAACAAGACGATCGGAATGACTTTAAATTGAATTCTATAATTTGATGATAAAATTGATACAAATGAGTTATAATGATTGAAATGCTTTTTGCTTGAAACTAGGAGCCAACGCGGAAAAACAAAAAAATAATAATAGAAGCTAGTATGTATAGATTTATCTGTTAATGAATTGTAGTTCGCGATTGCTCAACCATCTATTAAACCATTAATGTGTCTATTGAAAGACATTGAAAATCTAGACATATTCTATTGTTACCACGTGAGCGACGTTGATTAACTGAAATTCTAGTTTTATTAGAACGTCTCTGGGTAGAAATAACCAGAAGAATACAATACACTACTGTATGATGTATGATTATATGTAGTTCGTCTTCGTGTGTTACGTTGGATAAGAAACTGATGTTGACAAAATATTTACTGGATGCATTGTAAGCAGTATAAGCTATTGAACAAAATGTTATTAAAAGTTATTTTTGAAATTTTGGCGTGATGGTGATGACTGCTTTTGGCAGTTGCAATTTTCGCTGTTACATCCATTTGATTACAGTAATGTTAGTTGACTGTCCCTTGTACTTTTAGAATAATGGACCTCAACTTAGTGGTTAATAATGAAGTTTTCAAACATACAGAAAGCTTCGTTACATTAATCAGTAAAACATGTGGTGGGTTTAGAAACTCATCATATTCTTTTACATCAAACGGTAAGGTTAAACGATATATGAATACCGAAAGTATTTTATTATTAACAGATAAGCTTACTTGCATCATTAACTCTGGTAAAATAAGTGGATTAGGTAACAGAACTATAGACAAAAAGGTTGTAGGTGAGATTGCTTACCGGAAATCATCAAGGATATATTTACTTCCATCTTTGCCATATGAAGCTAACACAATAGACGGACTTGAATAAGCATTGGATGACACCCAAACACAATGTGAAACAAACAGATACAGAATGAATATAATTAAAACGTAAGCGACTGCACGCAGATTACTCCCGTTGTTTCCTGATGGTTGTTGCTTTGACTGACTACCACTGGTGGTAGTTGTTGGCGTGTCTTGATCAGGATAGTTCACCTAATGATACGAAAGGATACATACACCGAGATATGGTATACTTTTCTTAAAGTACGAAACGCGCATTGTTCATAACAAAAAACTTAATATCAGAAAAATAATTTACGCGGAACTAGAAGTTTTCTTAGAAATAACTTGATACTGAGCATGAATACAGTACCCAAAAAATATTAGTGACAGGTAATAAATGAGCCAACAGTTAATGTTCATAAATACCGAATGAGATTCGTAACACTCATGGTTGTTGAGATGTATAAGATATGTCTGATTACCGCCTATCACGATATGCTGGCTAACGTCAACAATATCAACAATTATAACCCAAGTCCTGTGCGAAAGTGTAAGCTTTCTGGTTAGGAATTTGTAAAGACCCTTAGTGAAATGAAAGTGGAGCAGATGTGTTCACTTTCTAACTTGCTCTAGGGATTGCTGGTTTAAGTATCAATTTTAAAGATTTAACTGTTTTATGTATGCCGTTTTATTGACAATAAAAAAAGCCTTAGTATAAAACATTGTAAGATTCACTTTAAAGTCAAAATTACTGATGGACAATCCTCATACGAACTCTAAAACAATCCTAAAGGTTACGATTTCTTTGAATATAACTTGAAGATTATTTAATTTCTTTCTAATAATTTTAATTGTCCTTTTTCTATTTTATTTAAGTTGGTTCATGGAACATGCTCACTTTTTTTTTTGAAATACATAGAAGAGAATAATGATATGGATATGTATAACCCTGACAACATTTTATTGATTTTTTTTTATAAAAAAAAAATTACCTTTTTATTCGTCTTATTCGGTTTATCATATAAACGTTTATCAATAGAATTTTGTTCATTATTATTAGATTGATTTGTTGTATTATTATTTTCATCATCTTGTTCATTTAAGAATAATTCAAAGACACGTGAAAAAGCGATAGCAGAGAACACACAAACAATTGGTGTTAATGTAAGAATAAGACGAACCATTACACCAGCAAAATATGATGCAAATATTGCATATAGAATAACAAAGACACGTTCATCATTTAAATTTTTAAAACAAAGTTTTACACCAGCTGGAAATGTAGCAATTAATACATGAAGATCAAAAAAGAAGGATGCCCATGAAGTAGGTTGATGCTCAGAAACGGATGTTATAATTGGAATATGTATTTTAGCATAACCAGTATCCCATAGAGAATAAAACCTGAATAATTCAAATAAGAATTAAAATCAATGACAAAATTCTAAATTTTCTGTTTAAATTCAACAACAGTTGAATAATACTGAAAAACGAAATTTTACTACGATTTATCACTGTACAAACACCTACTTACAAAATTTCATAAGGTCATGTTAGGCATTTTACAACTCTGGAGCGTGTATTCAGCCTGAAGGTGAGGAAATTTAGCTATCCATCTGAAAATCGCTTTACACTCTCACGTGTTTATAGCCAGTGCAAAAGAAGTCCTTCTAACTGCTTCCACGTTGAGAAAAGGGGGTTACGAAAGTGAGGACGAAAAGCGATTATCTAAGATTTAAACTAAGTTGGTGGGTAAATAGGGTCTACTTAGAGGAGTTGGTAAACCCCGATTCCAAACTAAAAGGTGAACATGGGACTTATTTTGGTTACTGGATAGCACAGGACTGCACATCTTTATGTGTCTCAAATGCCTAGTGCGTTGAACTTCCAGAACAAAGTCTTGGGAAGTGATCTCTTAAAAATACTACCCGCTATGTATTGGTTACCCAACTAGTATTTCACCTCACTCATAAATATACTGATTATAAATAATGAAGAGAATGTTCTCCCTACTTTGATTCATCATAACACAGACAATATCTACAATCACCTTGTCACAAACTGTTTTACACTACATAATTTTTCGATTTTTCTATCCACATTTTGTTCGTACTCTTATTCTTCAACCACAGTAAGAAAAAAAGAGCATGCACACAAGATTTTTGTTATAAAGGTTATGCATAATCTTTTCAATTGTTGTGTACTTGAACTGGCTTGAAAGATCCCTTAATGAAATTCTCTTTGAATTAAGCACATATTACATATAAATCTTGTTAAATAGGACCTATGAATCATATGCTGTCAGTATGCAAATAATGTGGAGGGATTTAATGCTTTATCAATAAGTATCAGTTTTGAACCCTTCCCCTTAACATTTATTCCAGTTGGGGTAATTGGGCAATACCACTAGTCACAAATGTTGCTTGAAGTTCAGCATATAAACATGAGCTTGGGAAATGAGTTACACCGTCATTTATCTATATTTTATACGAACGTGAAAGACAAACTTCATAACTACGAAAATTAGGCTCAGTAACAACATTTCATTCATCACGCTGGGGCATTTACATAGATTGCGTAAGATCAAAAAACAATACCTGACTCTGTACAGAAAGAAATTTGAACTCGTTACGTGATCAATTGAACCCTGATTTTAAACTAATGGTCCACATGAGCTCCAGGATCCTGAGGAAACAAATGCTATATGAACCTATTGTTGGTCACCGGCTACTATGAGACTGTATCTCCTAACGTTGCTCCACTGCATTGTGGATTGGGCCTCTAGGTCAAAGGCTCGGATAGTTACTCCCTAAGAAAACCATCTGCTTCAGTTTGGGCGCCCAGGCAGTCAGTATCTAAGCCCTCACACAGATCAAATGATTTGTGTGTCGCGTATATATTTGGTGCCTCCCTGTACCGATGTATGTAAAAAAAATAATTATTTGTTACTACCTGCCACTCCATGGTGCAATAACGCCAGCATATGTTAGCCCAACTACAACAAGAAATATAACTCCAGCAGAAAAAATGGCACCAAATGTAAATAATTGCTTCAGAGTATTAGAGGGAACGCGGGTTTGTAGATATTTGAAAAAAGCGATAACCTGCAAATAAAGACAAGATGTTTGGTAGGTTATTTTGACCACAGTATTAGATTAGAAAATAAAAATTACTTAACATATCATCACCATACTTGAGAATGTAGCATCACTTTTAACCAACTAATAATATACTTCCACGTTGCCATGTCCACTTATATATATATATATATATATATATATATATATATATATATATATAAACTTCAGGACTGGTATACATTGGGATGAGGTACACCAACTACCTGAAAAAGTAAAACTATCCTGCTTCTCAAGCCGAAATTTGGTGTTTATACATCCTCATATAGATCAAAACCATAAAATAACCGCATATAGTAAAAAAAATGTACCTGGGTTAGTAGAACGAAACCATTACATATTATTTACTAAGTGTACATTTAGATATTTGTCTTTGAGTCACATTGTAAGGAATAGAAGATCTACCTGGCTGCCCTAACCAAAGTAGACTTTCTGTAGTTTGAAACCGAAACCTAGTAGATGGAAATCAAGGGCAAAGCATTAGACAAGATAGAACTATCTTGAAATATTACACTACTTGGTGAGTATGAGTGTTTGTCAACCAATGTGGACGGGATGCGTTTGACAGTTTAAATCAGCACTTAATCTGGCGTTCTATGTTACATAGCAGAGATTAGGAAGAGGTAAGCTAAGAAAACACCGAGATACATCGTTACCCCATGATGCTGGCGACTCTAGCTGAAGTCTTGTATGAATGCGTAAATCCTCTAGCTTGAGGTCGTAAAACAATCATGACCGATAGTTGAAGACAAATGAAATGGAGGAAAATCACCCACAGCGGGGCAGATACATTCATGCTTTATCTTCCTTTAAAAACTGAATTTTAACATTACGTTCTTTATTGCTGGGTTTTGTTCCTTCTTTTTAAAATACGCTGCCCCCATATTTAGTTAACTCGTAGCATTCAGATATTTGTTTTCATTCTCCAACCTATTAATTTCTTCTTGCTGTGAAGTATGGAGAAATGGCATGATGACAACTTCAAAGAACTATGACTAACCTGACTGTTGCTTTAAACAACTGAGTTCAAATAGGAAATGAGAAATTAACAAATTCACATATGAGAACTTTCAAACAACTGGCAAGGAATGAAAATATGAACGCAATTACGATTTAAACGAAATACGTTTAGCTTAATAAAAGTCAGTTTGTCCCACAATCTGCAAAAATAGAGCATTACAGAGCCCAACCAGCGTGTTCTTGAATCCATTAATCGACTGTTGATAGTACCAAGAACTGATCACTTTCTACAACTAAAATCTTGACCTTCAACCGAGTTTCCTGAATTAATTCAACAGAAGCAAGTGGTATTATTACCAAGGTTCCACACGATAATTTCAAATAAATTTAGGATTCCGTTAATTGTTAATATTAGAAGCAATAATAGAATTGTAAAATCCCAATAAGTAGACAATCGAATTTATGACTTTTCGAAGTCTATTGTAAGCCACTTCTTGAGAGAATGAGTAAATAAGAGCTAAACTAACACAATCTTAAATCATACGGAGGAAACAGAGCAGAATGTTTTTAGTACGATCAAAACCAAAATAGGTCTGATCATGTTAACGTTATATTGTTTCACATAAGGTAATCCTGTGCGGGACCTACTTGTTTACTTGTCTGTTAGTGAGAGTGGAAAATGTCATATATATAATATGGAAGAGCAGGGTTAAGAATATCCCCATGCATGTTAGTGGTATGAGATTTGGACATAATTAAATATGTGGATATTTGAATAAATGTTTCATTTTCGATGGATCGTCACCAAGTCAGAAAGCCAATTTTCTACTAATTGAGATGTTGCGCATATACGATTAGGTTTTACATTTCCGTAAGTACTGAAAATAATTAGGTACTGGAATAAAACAATCAAAATAAACATGATCTACATCATATAGTGCCGAAATACCAAGTGATTACCAAGTTCGATTGCAATATAATGATTGTCTTGCCGAATGACGATACACGAACTATCGAAATTACGCTTAATCAATTTGGCTATTGTTGTTTGCAACTACTCTGAATTATCTACGCTCCAAACTCCAAGTGCTTCTGCAAGGTAGAAGCCTGTGTCTCTGCTCCCCTTTGGTGGTCAGTCAGTCAGTCAGTCAGTCACAACGTAGAACTTCGTACGTACGTACATCAGTTCGAGTTGCCATACCACATTAGCACAGAGATGCAGTTGTCGATTCAAATCCCATAGTGGTAGAAGTAGTAGGAGTATAATCAGAAATCCAAAAGATTAGGGTTTGGAGAAATTATTGAAGGAATATAGTACAGTGAAATAAATTTGGAAAGAGAAAAAGGATAGGGACATGAGGAATTCGGAATATTATAATTTGTCAGAACACAAAGAGTGGATGCACCTTCGCCATTGCAAACGATTTTGAGCCATGTCATTCAAGGTCTCTAACCATCGGTTGCTATCATCTCGCGAATCCCAACCAGGTAGTCTACACCTACCAACATGGCCCAGTCCACTTGTCAGTGACTTCATTGATTTGTGCCACGTTTAGGTCTGGCCGCCCCTAGCTTTCTTCCAACCTACTCCTACACCATGAAACATTGCACGTCGGGGCAGTCGGTGGTCGGGCATACGTAACACATGGCCCAGCCATCTCAACTGATGAAGTTTCACTACTTCATCAATCGATTTGCCATCCTTACCTAGTACTCGTTTCCTAACAACTGCATTATTTACCCGGTGGTCCCAGGATATACGAGCAATGCTTCGAAGACACCTATGATCGAACACTAGTAGCCTACGAATATCCTCTACTCTTATTGGCCATGTTTCACTGCCATAAAATAGGACGGAGCGAACTGCTGCACAGTACACCCGTCCTTTGGTTGCTAGACGGATATCTCGCCTACGCCATAAATGACCCCTTTGGTGGTGATTCGTTAGTAGTCGAAACATTTGTGCGCGTGATGTGACATAAAAGCTATGTACGTATGGTGAAAACAAGGGTAGTTTATGCAGATCTGACCCGACCCTGTCGTGTGCTAGGTCAGATTTACGCGTTGGTAAGAGCAGTTTTGCTTTGTTTGTGGAACTGGGCCCTTTAAACAGAGGATGTTTGGCTGTACTGTTGGGTTGTCGATGTCTAAAGGATTGTTAGAATCTAGTTGCTGCACTACGCTAGTTATCTCCACGTTTGGAAATATGTTTAGGCTCAGTGATGATAATCCAATAGGCGTTACCGACCTGAAGTATCAGTTTTAGTGATTGAATATCTCTTTACCGACATCAGATTAGTTGCTTTCACATTATGCACGATTTCCCGATATTAGGACTGGGTAAGAAAGGTGGGAAAGTGGTATGGAAGATAGCTGTATAGGATTTTTATGTCAGTTCACCGCAACTCTCTGGTCGGTATTCTGAAGGTAGTGCAACTCCGTTGCTTGGGACATCATTAAATATAGCTCAGAACAGAATCGAACGGAAATCCTACTGTCACTTCATACTCTTTACAATGATGAGAATAGATTCCTTAACCGAAAGAAGTCTTTCTTGGCTGCACTTTAAACCGAACTATATATCTCATACCAGATTTTCATCCTTCATATGATCGATTGAACTACAATTCTATGACCGACATTCTCTTCACTTTTGTGGTGCAAGTTCTTTGCGGTGTCAAGTTGAACCAGAGCTGATAGTTTCAAAAATAAAAAACACATTACACTACACCAATAGAAAACTCGTATAAATGGAAAATTAGCTTTCAAACTCAAAATTCTCTTCTTTTGTCGATATGAGACACAACAAAGCTGATCTAATATTTCATCAGTAACAAAGGCTGGTTTAATAATTTTGGTTGAGATGAGTTTTTAAACAAACAAAATAGAACACTTTAGAATTATGTACTTACTTGAAGAAGTGCAAACACTCCTATTGATGCCATATGTTCACTAGTGCGTAGTGGCTGAAAACCAACAAATGGTATTTGCATCGACATTATTAAACCCAAAATAAAGAACGTTGTGTAAGCCACGTACAGTTTTGCGCTATATCGCTGCATGATTAATAGTACAAAAATGTGTAATGGGATGAGGTTTATAATGAACACATATCCTCCCCAAGCAGATACCATGTAAAAATATGCGATGGCACAAAGCGCGGCCCAAAAAACTTTTCCAGTTTTAACAGCTTTAATCCACAAATAGTAAGTAAACATTAATGCGAAAATTGCGATTCCTTCGTTATCATAACTTCCGGCGGTTGAACGACTTATATAGCCGGGAGCTAATGAAAAGCGGGATAATTATATAATACATCAATTACCGATGGCGATGAAGCAAGCAGCAAACAAACCCGCCCCTTCATTCCATATTTCCTTCGTGAAAAAATAAGTCGCAACGGCAGTCATGCCACTGAATATAGGAGCGAGGAAAACACACACTTCACGAATGTGAACCGGAAAACTCAAAAGGTGACACATGTAGTGAATAAAACCTAAAATGTCCGATGGTAAGTCTCAATATTAAACAAACCTGAAGTTATCATTAAACCAGGATAGACAGTGCCTCCAACGATCCTCCCAAGTGGGTACCACGCAGTGCTGTCAAACCAATTGTAAAAGCTTTCAAAACTATTTTCGACCATCTGCTTGGTGGCTCGGTAATTAAACCAAGGATCGAACTCATGGATGACACTTTCAAAACGTATAACTGAGAAAAGACGTATAATAAACCCAACAACCCATGCTAACAGCAGAATACAGAATGTTACAAGCCCTGTGCGCCCGTTAGTCGAGACAGAGGAAAAGCGACCAACAGCAAGACTAAGCATTTGTGACGAGCTCGTAAGTCGCGGGTTGACGCGAACCTTCAAGAGGTGACACGTACGAGACAACTCATTCCTGCTCAAACCTCAATTCCCAGTTAACAAAATTTACGAAACAAATATTTTTTCATTCATTTTAGATGGTATTTAAAAAGATATAACAAGCATACAGATTTCTTGTCTAGCTGTAATTGCACGAGGGATCTGGAAAAACAAACAGTCTTGGACGGAATTACAAACTATCAAAATTACAATGTACTGCAACACTAGTAAAATGGCATGGTAGAATCGACTGGTTGATCAGAATTTGGTAGATACAGCTAACTGGAGGCTAATTGAGCTGCGGACTAATACGCCTCTCATTTTGGTGATCACCTTCTACGGCAATTACAACCAACTTCTCGAACTGTTCACTACAGTAGAAAGAGACCAAAGGTTTCTATGTGCGCCATTCGTTAAGTGAAAATATATACATTCTTAATGTTTGCTGTTCAAAAATGTAAATGGTTCACAAGAGCAATTAGTCAGGATGGTTAATGTTTGAAACTAAAGTACATTCACTCAGCCACTGTATTATACACGTTATGCAGCACAGCCATAAAAGTCGTAATGCATAAGTGACTCATCTGAAATCATGCTCATGGGGTGTAAAGAAATCCATAAATATTAGGCAAATATATAAAGGGCTTTGGAATGATGATTAGATTAGGGTACTGGAAAGGGAGAATCCGTCTATCGGTTTAAAATGAGTTAGCTAAGAATTTTACAGCATCGCCAACGTCTTTTTTGAATACCTGGAATCCAAAAATAAAGAGGTGCTAGCATTGTGATATCTAAAAGACTTCGCACCACAAAATCAGCATTTCGCGCGAGACATACGCCTTGGGAGCAATTACCTGTAGATGAATTTCTTGAATTATTCCCTCTACAGACTCGCGTAGCTTTGGCAAAGCAATTGAGGATGCAACGGATGTTCTAGTTTTACAACTAGTTACCAGTAGCACCTTCTATGTTCGATCGTTCCCAGTCAGATAGAAATCAAAAGTCAGACGAGAAGAGGCAGGAAAGATATATTTGATTCGTTATCAATATATCGAGGATCTTTTCTATGAGCTGGCTAATGAAACGTAGGAGCTGTGTTCCACGCCGAGTTGAAACGTGATTTGGTACGGATGCATGACCAAAAGCCTTCAGCTAAACAAGTCCACTTAGACAACGTGGTCAGCATCCAATGTCGAACACTTAATGAGCTATTGATTTTGGGGAATTATTTACAGCTACACAATAGTCAGAATAGCTAATTATCCATGTAGCCGGCTATAATAACCTGTTCGTAAAATGTAAGTTTATACAGTTAGTACAAAAACTCAGAATAGGATTCAGTAACAAGAAATACGATAAACAAACGCATATAGATCAGAAGCAGGGACACAACAAAATGAATCAGTTACAAGAGTTAGTGATCTTGATACTGCTGGTGCAATTTCACGATTAGCAGTTCCATAAAAAGAGTCGATTTATTAAACAGTCTGGGACTATACAGTAAATCTGAATGAATGAACTGATATTCACTTATATTTACTTAACAACCCTACTTCGGATGCAAACTGTGAACCAATAAATGTTATGACTTGTAGATCATGCCTGTAAAAATGGCGTGTACCTGCCCTTGCAGAGTTAAGTGAGTCTTTAGTCGCTAAAGTTTGATGTGAATATTATTGATTGGTTCACCACCATAGATTAAGGTTAACAATATGTGTCGATAAGCACACTCGTTACCAGCACTTTGATGAAACTTTCTACTAATACGACTAAATCATCTTCCTACCCGGACGCTATAACCTCAATTACTCCCACACGTCAACTGTGATGGTAATGAGAATGAGTGAATCGCTTTACTTCAAGATAAGTCTATGTACAGAAAATAGGGGTATTTATGAAGTAAACTTGGGTTTCATGCAATTATCGGAATCAGGTTTCTGCGAAGCTTCTATTCAACAGTGATTTGAAAAAATGTTCTGTAACGTCTCCAGGCTTCTGAAGACTATGTCAGGAGATATTTTGAACATCTTCAACATGCTTGTCTTCTCTCATTGTTTCTGTGCTAACTTTTCTATTTGTTTACAGTACCCATATGCGGCACGACTGCTGATTATTCAGAGTAACGACTGAAATTCCAGAATTTGTTCTGAACCTGAAGATCATGCCTGTAAAAATGGCGTGTACCTGCCCTTGCAGAAATATATTGTAGTATTATATTATAAAATCTGATCGCTATAGCAAATACAATTAGACTGAACTACTTGCTTTTGTATGCAAACAAAGCCTTTTAAAACACACGTAGGAAGTGATATCAGTGCAGAAACTCTGCTAAATTCATTCGGTTATAATTTAAGTAAGAAAAAATTTGCTAAAATTATAAGATGCCTCAAAACAGAAGAAGCCTGAGCTTTCCAGTCAGAACATGGCAAAAGAACGAAGAAATAGCAATACTGTCCAACGAAATACTTGGTAGGCATTTTCAGCGCATCCGTTCTATCACAAATATCCTTTCAGTTCTCACAATCTGATAGTGTGATCCTGCCTAAACGTAGGTTACTCGAAACTTTTATCGGCCTCACGTGGAACAATGTAATGGGATGATGTTCACAAAACGTTCCTGGTGAGTATTTGAATGAAAATGGAGATAAACTACGTGACAATTCTCTTCAAAATATCCTTTCAAATTTATCACATTCAAAAGATCACAAATCCAGAGCTTGTTGCTTTCGTTTAAGTTTACATATGAAACTGAAGCCTGTCACGGTGCGAATAGCCGAAAACGCTCTGTTGATAAAGAAGTGACCAACGGGTCATCGAGTCCGATCTTTCTGCCCCTAGACTAATAAACTCATGCCAAGGCCATGAAAAACAAGGCTAAAGAATCGAATGTCTCTACGTTTATCAGCCGTTTTATGGGCCGCTATTCATAAACATTGTAGACCAAAACCTTTTGTTCTGACCTGCATAGTTGTATTGTTAAGTCAACGAGATGTTCAGCAAGACTTCTTGAGATTCATAATAGAATTTGTCTATGAATATGGTGTTTAACAGTATTTGTGCATTACTATCAGACCTAAGCTAATGATTGATTAGCAATTTCCACCTCTATGGTACTGGTGAACGTCACACATAGGGGTCTCGGTCGACTCACAATTTTTGAGTTTCGAACTCAGATGAGTTTTTAAACCCTAATGATCTACTCCTAATGAGCTAGGAGCTTGGCGCATTCTCCTCACAATATTCTGTTGTTATTGTCTAGAGGGCTGAAATTGAGGTTCGATAAGTCCATTAGTTTGGTGGTAGTTAGAGGGTTATCATGAACTTTGATTCTCCCTTACTGTAACATGTGAGCTCAACTTTTTATTCACGATAATCACTTTTTCTCTCTGTTTTGAAGGGTGAGAAACGCTTCTTCATCAAGTGTGATTGTGTTGGTGTTCTTCGTGTTGTATTTTAGGATTTTGCTTTTTACTTTGTGTATGTTGAGGCGTACTGATTCAGAGGCTTCTGCTACATTTGTTGTCTTGACCTGCATTTGTTGGTGTACATGGTATAGAAGGGATAGCTCATCTGCGAAGTCCAAATCGTCTAGTTGCATCTAACCTGTTAATTTTATTCCGTGCTTCGCGTCTTATGTGGAGGTCTTCATAATCTAGTCAACGATCAGAAGAAAGAGAAAAAGGAAGAATAAGCAGCCTTATCTGACTCCGGTCTTCTCTTTGAATACATTTGTCAGTTGTCCTATCCTCCACTCACGACTTTGTATTGTACTCCGTCGTATGGATTCCGAATGATGTTGACGATTTTCCCAGCTACTCACACCACAGTATCGAAGAAGGTTCTATTGGGTTCTCCTATCCACACTGTCAAATGCTTTCTCAGAGTCAATGAAGTTGATGCATATTGACGAGTCCAATTCAATTGATTGTTCAAAGATGATCTGTAGTGTCGCGATTCGGTCTGTGCACGACCGATCCTTACGGAATCCGACTTGTTTATCTCGAAGCTGGACATCTACTGAATCGTTTATCCGGTTCAGCAACACCGTTGAAAAATTTCCCTTGTACCGATAGTAGTGTGGTTCCTCTGTACTTCTTACACTTGCTCAGATCTCCTTTCTTTGGTATGTTGATGAAGTATCCTTCTTTCCAGTTTGTGGGCACATGTTCTTCCTATCAAATCTCTCTGAACAGAACGTGGATCATGTTTGCGATTAATTCTGTCTGACTTGAGTGCTTCGACTGGTATGCCGTCTGGCCCTACTGCTTTCCCACTGTTGTTTTGAGTGACGGCCATCCTGATTTCTTCGATCGCTGGTGGAGTGACATCTAGGTGAAGGTCTGTATGTGCTTCTTCGATGTCCAGTGGATTCGAAGGAGTTGGTCTACTGAAGAGTTCATTGAAGTATTCTACTAATCTGTTCCTCTGTTCCTGAATCTCGGTGATCATCTTTCTTTTTTTTGTCTTTGGCTGGTCTTTCTAGTTCACTATATTTCCCTTCTAGTTTCTTCATTGTTTCATATGACTGTCTCATATTTCTTTCTCATGAAGCTTTTCCGCCGTCAATGTTAGCCCTTCTGCTTGTCATTTGTAATGCTCCTATTCACTTGCTTGTTTGCTTCTCTGTATTCAGCTTGTGCCTTGACTTTCTCTGTTCTTGTTCGACTGTTGTTAATTACTATCTTCTTGTTTTTCCTTTCTTGAATCTTGTTCAGGCTTTCCATGGAGATCCACTCCTTATGATGATGTTTCTTGCTACCCAGAGCATTCTAACATGTTGAAGTTAATGATTCTTCGATTCTTTTCCAATTGTCCTCTATCGTAACTTGTTCTTTCAATAGATCCTATAAGGCTTGGAACCTGTTGTCGAGAGTTATTTTGAATTCGTTGAGATAGCTAGTATCTCGTAGGAAGGCTGTATCGAATGAAATAATTTTCGGCTAATGCAAGAAAAACTCAATTGCTCACAATGTCATTGCTAAGTATCAGTTACAGAGGAAGCAGTTTTACTTCGCTTATCAACAATGCGATCACATCATGTTAGTCCGTTAAATGAAGAATTAATGGTTATTGCAACGATTTCTCAAACACACTGGGAAATGAATAGTGACTATAATTGATTAGATTTAAAAGCATATTAAGAGGTTTCACAACGTCATTTCCTTTTTGATGAGCGAAGTGAATCTCACATGTTCCTGTATGCCATTAGCTAACAATCTGTAACTTTATTCGTAAAGTAAGCATAAATTTGAAAGATGATAACATTT